AGTCCGTGCAGGTGATTTTGGACCAAAATGCAATTTTGGTGCTTCATTGGTAAAACTGTTCTGGTCTCTCATCTTTCATTAATTGACACTTTAATCCTCATAGTTCTGATTTCTTTAGTTTGGTCCTAAATATTGCAATTTCTTCCAAGGCCTTCTCTACACAAGGAATGATATAAAATCAAGTAAAATCTTACAAAACTCATTCAATTATCAATAATATCAAAACAAAAATTTCACATTAATATCTATAAAATTTCAACTCATTAAAATACTACTTAAATAATTTCTTAAAAACCAGAATCAATCTTATTACTATACAAAAGGAACAAATATACATATAATTCTTGTCATCAATCTAAATAATTGAGTAATAATTTCAATCCAATGTTTGATTTATTGTTAATAAAATAGCATAGTTTCTCTTTCCCCCACATCCTTAGCTTCACTATAATCCCCACCACCGGCTTAACTTTTACCACACCTGTTCCTCTCCACATATCTACTAATATCAATAAAGATACTCTAGGATAAAAGACCACAACATTGACCAACCCTTATATCCCTACTACTTCTGATCTTTCTCCTTTCTCTCTTCTCCCTTCTCCTTTTCCGCTTCTTATAACAATCCTATTCACTACCATTTTCCCCTCTTAATTAGAGTTATTGATTGAAATTCTAAAAAGCTTTCTAGCAATTTGTTCTCTTTACACTTCACTAACCTAGTAAACCTCATCAATCTTCTAGGGATTGGCCAACCGAAGTTCAAACTTGAACCACTTGACCATCCAAACCTTAACACAGTTCTCAACCATACCATGAAACCATGCATAATCTTACAACTCCTTGACCTTTCTAATCGTTTAGAAGAGAAGCATTCTTTATATGATCCAATAGAAATCAAGGTAATCTTTTCATACTTGATTCTAAATCGAACTATCTCTCCTAACACCAACTACAATATAGAAAACCTTTAAAGCAATTTCATAATGTTAACTAGCACCACCCTTAGTGTTGCACCCTAAATTTTGTTATCTTCCCTTAAATCCACTTCCAAAATTGAACTAATGGACTCGCAAGCAATCTCTTATAGCCTTTACCCATTTTTGGATTGAGAAATTGGATCCAAAATGGATACCAAGAGAAATTCAATTCACCAATATTTTTCTTACCATCACATCCTAAGAGAACTATCAAGTTTTAATCATTAAAAGCCCAAGGGGACTTTGTAAAAACCAAATCCTTTTTTCTTTCATCTACAAAACCAAATGCAAAAACATTATCACCTATATAGCTCTCACTTGTAACCCATATCTCACTCCCCAAATATGTACAAGCCATATATGCTTATAGTCTTCTAATATTCACTAGACATTGCGACAGCACCATCCTCACCTAGTAGAAACAACTCTGTACCTTGGGCTCCTGCTCTATTCCAATCGATGCCTTTATAACCCCTACTACTCATTTTAGTGTCAACTTTGCCCAAAGGTCTACAAGTTCATTTGAAATTACCATCATCAATTTGCACCTTAACTGTGGAAATTAATTCGAACCCCACAAGCAAAAAACCACAACACAAAACATAACTACATGCCACAAACACCACAACAAACCCCAAATTGAACGTAGTCAACATTGCTCAACTAGTTGTGCTACACTAAATCGTTCAAACCCTCACACCAACTAGCACCCACAGAAACCCTAAGCCTTCATAAAAAAACCACCTAGTAGTACCCATAGAATCCCTAAACTTTCATTGGAAAACCACTCACCAACAAACCAACAACCACCAAGTATCAAACACCTAAGTCTTTGCCATTGGATACAAGCAGGGGCCTAGGTCCCATGGTCTTTTAAAAATTTATTAAATAACACCTTAAATTTTATAAAAATATATGTAGAACCCTAAACTTTGAAAAACAAAATATTTATATGAGAAATTACTAAGATGTATCTATTGTTTTGCTTTTAATTCCATTCAAATGTTTCTCTAATGGTTTAATTTTAGATAATTTTTCTATATCTAAGGTGTATGGTTTCTATTTTCATAGATGAACAATTGTAATCTGATTTACAAGCTATAATTCTAGAAAAATCCATCTTCTCCAATTAATGTCACATAGTCAAATATGAAGTTTGATTAATTGATTTTCTTTTATTTGTAGCGTTACACAGTTGCCCTACATAAGAGATAGAATCCTAAACCCACCACTAGCCTTCACTAAGTAACCATCAAGAAGAAACAAAACAACACGATACATTCCACATGGATCACACGCTAGAAGGGAAACAACTCCTACAAAACCCGTAGCTTGTAATCCTAACAACCTTTAGGTGTTAAAAAGGAGTTCATGAACCATTTTGGCATCACCTCAAAAGTTGAGGAACCAAACAGACCATTAAGCCTTTTGAAATAGTACTTGGACTAGAGGTGAGAAAGATAATACTACTAGGGAATACTACGATTTTTTTCATTTCCAAAAGGGAAAGAAGCGCAGAGCAGTACTTTGTGACTCCGGTGAGTGTCTGAGATCGGGGGACCATTTAAATTGATATTAATTGCTGAAGACTTTTTATTTTCTCGTAATGCCCACCAGTTTTTATTTCTTGCTTTGCTCGAAGAAAAGTGATATCTCTGAAAGAAAAATTTCTACTTATGCTTACTGCCAAAACATTTCCCTAAAAATCCAAGACAAACTTCCATTAGAAACGCTCTAAATCTCTATCGCTAATGACATCAGAAATGTACAATTATTTAGTACATAATCAAAAGAGAGTGGTCTTACTCTAGGGTTCTTTCTCTTTTGCTCTCATCTTTTATGTTTCCTACAAGGCAAAAGTTAGAAAAGGGTGCCTTTTGTCTCTTGAAACTATGAGAAATAACGGAAGTTTGCTGTCTTAATTGATTCTATTTGTCTATAGAAATTGGATGCTGAAATCTTCATTTAATTAAAAGCTGAGAGAATTCAGGCTTAGGTTTCATAGGGCTTATCAAATTTAGGGTTTCTCATGTCAATAACTCAGCTTTCCTTTCTGACTAGGGCAATTGCAACTTCAGTGCATGAGAGACGTTCCACGATTCTTCTGAATAGTCCCAGTTTCTCTTTGGGTAACTCAAAAGAATAATTTGCAGTCTCCCTTTCCCCTCTCTCTCACAGTGCAAATTCTCTTTTCCTCATTTTCTTTTTCCCTTACTAAATATTTCTAGAGACAGCAAATGCATAATGTTTTATAAAACTTTTACAAAATTCTGATTTTTAATTCCTTGCTATTTCACAGACCATATAATATATATTCTTGAAGTACAAAGTTTAGAGGCCGATTCCTGGCACCAAAGACATGAAAGAATTCTATACACATGCCATCATCTTGATTGCAAAAGGTATTATACTGCAAGAATGATTTTTAAGGTTTGTCTTCTCTTTGCAGGGGTCCAACAATGTTTGATACAGACAATTTGAAGGGAAAAGCATATGGTATAGTCTGAAACAAAGCAAACTGAGGAAATCATTAATAATAGAGCTATATATTTACTTCAACTTATAGCTAATCTCACTGCCATATACGTGTGGTCCATTCTATTATACTCGGTATGTAGATGCTTTAAAGAACCCTACCCTTGGTCCCTCATCTATAAGATATAGATAGCTACATCTCTATAATGCATTTCATCCCTTCTTTCCAAGTCTTATCTTAGAACCCCAACTCAAATTATTTGAGGGTAAGATAAATAGATATATAGCTAAAGAAAATACTCTCTTGGCTATTTACAAAATGTTTTTTCAAAGATTAATTCATCTTCATCATAGAGCTAAAGATGCAAGTACATATAGCCAACTCTAAAGCAGCATAAGATATTGATAGATTGATCGTAGAATTGAAATTATTGAACATTAGGTCTCAAAATTTTTTTTTTTTTTGATAAGCGAACATTAGGGCTCAAATTAATTATATATACCTTCTTCTTTTTAATTTCGATTCAGGCTAGGCATATATGGATTATATATATACCTATGTTGTACTTGCCACATATTATAATATGTTCTTAATTTCTACAATATATTATAGATGGTCCCCATGAAGTTACCCTTCTGCTTTTTGTGCCCTCCTCATATACATGTAAAAGCCAACTAAAAAGGACTAAGCAATAACTTAATCGTTACCAGCTACTAGTTCATTGCGATGATGTGTCAACACGCGTGAATGCCACATGGCCACAGATGCACCATTCCTTTTTCTTTTTTCATTACCATGCAACATGGTGAAATGAAATTCCACAGCATCTCTCTTTCCTACAGCTGTGATTTTATATGTTTGATATGTGTAGGTTTATTCTTAGCATAATTATTAACCCTCTCTATATGCAGGTTAATTAAACTGAAAGAAAGCATACATATTAACCACTTTAGTGGTTTCCTTCTTCCTACTCCTTGTCCTCTCTATCTTATCGATGTGTTTGATCACAGAAGATCTGAATCTGTTCTGCTACGACAAGATGTCTCACATTTCTGTTAATTTTATGTAAGTTTATTGTGCATCGATCTAATTCTTGCAAAATAAGCAAGTTCAAGTTTCTTCAAAAGCTTTTATTTATTTATTTTCTTTTTTTTTTTGGGATTTTCAATGACTTCAGTTTCATTATATATTCTTGAATTTGATACCGATGAATTCAATGTACTCCAATTGCACTACTCTCTCCTAATTTTTGTGGAATTCCTTGATTAGCTTTAACTGGAAAACCTACTTCAGAAAACCTAACTGAATTCCTTTGTTTTTGATCATCTATTTTTGAAGAAAATAACTTTGAAACCTATAACCTACATCACTGTAATTGCTTCCAAAATTTACAAATTCTTATAACTAAAACTAGAAAATATCCTAAATACAAAAAACTTTTGATTCCTTTAGATATATATGTCTTATATGTTCTTGGTTTAATTCCTTTAGATTATATTTCGTTTTCTCATGAATATTGAGAAAACTGTAGCTAAAAGATTTTGTGGATTCACTTTCCCTAACAAAATTATCAAAAGGAGATGCAAAGAGATTAATTTTGTCCTTACCAGTTGTAATTTTGTGGCTGATTTGCAGTTGATTTCTTTAAATGATGAGTGAGTTATTACTAAGATGATCTCGAGTTCAAGAGAAAAAGGTCTTCAAGCAAAGCAGGAGGATGCTAACAATGCCAGCAAGTTGTCTAGGGCAGCAGCTTCGAGTTCAAGGCAGTGGTCAGGATTTAGAAATCCAAGGATTGTACGTGTCTCTCGATCTTTTGGGGGGAAAGACAGGCACAGCAAGGTTTGCACCGTAAGAGGATTGAGAGACAGGAGGATTAGGCTTTCTGTTCCAACAGCAATTCAATTGTATGATTTGCAGGACAGGCTGGGGCTTAGTCAGCCTAGCAAGGTGATAGATTGGTTAATTGATAACACGAAGAGCGATATTGACAAGCTTCCTCCTCTTCAAATGCCTCAAGGATTTGGACAGTTCCATCAGCAAATGTTATTTTCTCAGGAGCCAAACACATTTCAACCTTCTTTTGCTCCATTCATGGAAGATCAAACCGATATGGCAGCACCAAAAAACTACTGGGAATTGGATGGTGCATCGCGAGGAAAATCCAGGGAAGAAGCTGAGAAGGGAAAATGGATCGAAGGAAATGAACAAGATGAGAATCATCATCAGGATGGGGACTATAGTGGATCATCAGCTCATAGGCTTTTTCCAATTTCCAATCATTCTTCTTTGCCTGGTAATTTCTCAACCAATAATTCCATGCCTTTCAATTCATACTACCAATGGGATCCTTCAAATCTTTCTTTATCTCAGTTTGGTAATCAAGGGTATCTGTTTTCCCAAAAAGAAAATTCATTCTCTGTGCCATCTTCTTTATCTCTTACATCTATGCCACAATTATTTTTATGCCCAACTTCATCCACTCCACTTTTCCCTTCATATCCTCCATATGTCACCAATCCAATGGAAAATGACTTCAGACAGATGAATAATTTCCAAACCATGAAACCTTTTTCTTTGAACGTAAATCCCAGCGGAATCAGTACTCATTCACCAAACACCAGCAATCATCCTGATGAAGATGATACCGATTCTTGAAGATATCTATAACGTCTCTCATGCATGGCTGCTCTGGTTCATTTCATCTAAGCTCGTGCAATTGTCATGCACTGTGTTGAGGCATGCAGTGATCTAGATATTTTTATCCTGTTATATGCTGAAAATCCGGACTTCACTTTGTATGAATACATAGAGGAAATCAACCAGGGGATATAATACAGCTTTGCTATAAAAGCTTGTTTCTTGATTGCTAGGTGGATTCTCTCTGATATATACAAGTAAGACAACCCAGAACACTTGATTTTCTTGCATTATATACAATGTTGTGGATATTATATAGGTGAAAGTTTGTAATATGTTAATTTTCTACATTCTGCATTAATTTTCTATGTTTTAGTAATAGATTAAAAGTGTGGTTGCATAAGCAGTTCCTTTCTCTCTTGGAAAATGACTGCCTAAGCAGTTTCTTGCTCAGAGTATAGCTGTGATTTTATATTTAATATGAATGCCGGCCTCATTCGCATGCATGCAGTGCCGCACAATTTTCAATCTTTCTCAAAGACTACCTGAGGTAATTTCATTTATGTACGAAATGATTGGAGAAATCTGTGGAAGTGACTAATTCAATTTTATCTACACACATAAAGGGTAAGGTTGGAAATGAAGCAATCTAGACCCTCTATTTATATTCCATTAATTATGTTCTTCAGCATGGATATTTATAGCACTGATGATACATATATATACATATATATGTATATATAGAAATTACTTTGCTTCATTTTCAAATAATATGTAGAAGTCTCATCATCCTTTTTATTCTTTATGGCTGTCCATAATTTTCTTTAGTTTTAAATATAATGTGGAGTTCTTGATAGATTTCTACCTAGCTAATACATACCTAGTGATTGGTACATATTTTAATTAAATATAATGTACAACATATTTATTAAAAAATTATTATTTTTTGTTTAAAATTAAAAATAGACAAATTTAAAGATATAACAATGCATATAGGATGCCTGAATTGTTTAAATTAGTTGTATGTATATTATATTTTAATTAATAAACCAAAACAAGTATAAGAAAGTATGTTGAACTAAGTGCATATCAATTATTTTTTCTTAATGAAAATAATATATTTAATAAAATTTGTTGATGCAGAGTGATAGTAATTTTTGTTGATTTTTTTTAATACTTTGTGAGACACTTGAATTGTTATCCATGTGTTTGTTTGATGGCATATGACTGTATTTGTCAACATATCATAAAAAAAAAAAAAAATTGTCAACGAATCCATTGTAGAATGCATGCACTCATAGGAAAAGATACTTGGTTGTCCAAAAAAAGAAAGATACATATGTACTTGAAAAACAATAGCTAAACTAAGAATGTGCCAAAAGCTTTTCTCCCATCTATCATAAGATATACAGTAGCATGCAAGTGAATGCTTAAGTGATCACCACAACAAATTTGGTTTTTCGGCATCATCTTTAAAAAAAAAAAAAATTATGCATAACTTAACAGCAATATATATACCATATAAAGTTTTCATTATTTCTGTGTGTATGTAACATTTAACTAATTGAAGCATTTGAAAAGATTATTAGGTGGCCTGAAGGAAAAATAATTTTTTCTTTTATAAGAGATCATGGTTTTATTGATAACCAAAACAAGTACGTCAACAAACAGTAATCATTGTTATATATAGAGGTTAGCAAACAGTAATTAATGACTCTAATGTATGAAAATATATTCATATAAATTTAGACAATTAAGTAAGGAAACCTTCAATACCAGACGCCACAAGAACATCACCAGAACATTGACAGGTTTCATAATATATAGAAACTACTTTTGTTGAGCATCCAAATTCTCTAAGATAATTGCTTGAAAATGATTTTAATAGTGCTTAATTTGTAAAGTGATTAATTAATGATAATTGCCTCCTCCCTCCTTAATTATTATAGAACTGTTGCTGCTACCCCTAGGGTTTCCCCCACCCCCGACATGTGAGTCCCTCGCTCGAGTGTTCCTCCCTGACCTTTTGGTCCTTTGCTACTTCCTCCCTCCTATCTATATATATCACTAATTCATCATGCGGTACGTGATGCCAATATTTTAGTCTGGAATTGTTGAGGTATAGGGGATATCTCAACAATTGTAGAGCTAACAAAATTAATTAAATAATAAAAGTCTCACCTTTTTTCTCCTCTAGGAAACAAAGCACACATTCACTAAGATTAATTGGATTTGAATAGGGTTAGGATTTGATAAATTTTTTGCAGTTGATTGTGCTGGTAGAAACGATGGCTTAACCCTCCTATGGCAAGAAGACACTTCCTTGAACATACTTTCTTACATACTCCCCATCACACATAGATGTAGAACTCCCGCTCAGATACCAACTTGGTGGACATCCCTTTAAAAGGCCTGCACAAGAAGGGGATATAGATACAGCGACAGGAAAAAAAGGAAGTGTGGCTCTTGAAGAGGCAGATGGAATAGGTTGGAAACTAGCCTTCTTCCTTCTACTAGCAAATAGAAGGAAGCCAAAGGAGCTGTTCAAAAAAGAAAAAAGAAGGAAGCCAAAGGAAAATGCGAAGGTGGGATAAGGAAGTTTGAGGATGAAGGTGTTGCTAAGGCGTTGGTGGATAACAATGGTACTACTGCTTTGGTTTTTCTAGAGAAAGGCAATGGCCCTACTCCAAGCTAGTTGATCACAGTTGGGACTTCTTTAGATTGGGGATTGTAGTTGGCCTGAAACTCTACTTTGCCCTAAAGCTAGCATGACAAAAAGGGTGATCTAAAAGCTAAAGATGCTAATCAAGGTCACCTTACTACATTTGTAGCTCTGTTAATGTGTCCTATAGCAATTGGTTTACAATCTCTAGGCAGTTGGGTGATTCTTATGTTATGGATGCATATTCCTCTCTAGTTAGTGCTAGAGGGTAGTTTCTTTTTTTAGGCTACATACAAATACAACGTATGTTTGTTTTTTTATTAATAAAATATTTTCTAACTTTTTGATAGAAAAAAAAAATAATGATAATTGCTTGCCTTTTTTCCTTTTTTTTTTCTTTTATTAACCAAAGTAAATAAATAAAATGAAAGGAAATACAATGAGTACTCCAACCAATTTACATCAATCTTCAACCTACACTATTAGCTAAAAAATCAATCTTTAAATACATCCCAAAATGACAATTGCTTGCTGAAGAGTTCGTACAATATATTCTTTGTTTCTTTTCTCTTTTGGTTTTAAGGTTTTTTTTTTTTTTTTCCCTTTTCAATTCTTAATAAATATGCACTCAAGTATAACATTACAACTAAAGATTATTTTTTCTTTTGTAAATATTATGTACTCAAATTGACCTAAAATTGAGTATAGGCAACGTTTGAGAAAATTAGTGGGAGAAGTAGGTTGAATTAGGGTACCATCAGAGCCGAGCCGAGCCGAGCCGAGCCAAGCCTGACTTTTGCGCTCTTGCTCAGCTCAAGTAATGTGCTCGATTTAATTCTAGGTCTAGTTCATCTCAATTTAATCTTTTTAGTATTTGAGCTCAGGCTAGACTATCAATAACCTAACTAAACTCATTATCAAGCATAGAAAACTAATTCGACTATCTCCCTGTCCCGCATTCCCCATCTGTATATTACAAGCTACCAAAGAAAACTAATGCGACTATCTCCCTGTCCCTCATTCTCCATCTTGTATATTACAAGCAGCAAGCCTGACTCAAAATTTTTCTTTTTGAAAGGCAAAACAATTTTATTAGCTAATTACAAGAAGTACTTAAAACCCATATATATCAAGTTAATAAGCCTGTAGTCTCATACAACACATTATATAATGAAAAATGATTTGTACATACTGGGTTTAATATAATTTTTGACACACTTTCAATTTAATTATTAAAAATATAATATAAATATAGTCAACTCAATTAGTTCTTACATTATATGTGTATAATTATATTTTTAAACTTATTAATTTTTAATTTTAGACTGAGAAATAGTGATTTTTTAATGAGTGTGTTGTGCAGTATGTTAAACTGAAGTATTTACCAATCACTATCCTTATATAATATATCCTGCACCTCCTATCATCTTTTTCTGCTTCCCTAGTAGTATACACAACCTCTGGATTTTTGCACTAGTCTTTATATGAATAGGTCTTGGCTTGTTGTCTTCTGCATACCCATAAATATGACGGAATCTGAACAACCCAAAACCCTGTCCACTTCCCAATTATTCATATTAAAAACCTCTCATTTATTGGCCAAATCACTTCAAAGTTCAAACCGTAACATTGCCCAGAATCTATTAATATTTCTCAATAATCCACAATGCTGTCATAAAGCTTCTCTACAGTTACCATGCATTACATAGCTAATCCCCCACCTAACTCATAATTAAATAGATTGAGGCAACACAAAATCCAACAACCCCTAGTGTACAGGAATAGAACATTAAATATAAATGTTAATTTGAAAAAATGTAAATTATATAAAAAATTATTGACTCGTGTAAGTTTTTTTTTTTTTTTTTTGGTTGGCAAATTAAGTTAAAACCATTATTAATGCAGAGTATAAGAAGTACTTCGACCTATTACAAAGTTTAAGTATCAAAATACTTGCAGTTTTTGTACTTCACATGTTATATATAGGGACACATAGATATACTTTGGTTAAATACACTATATAACACATTCATTAAAAAATTATTATTTTTCAGTCTAGAATCAAAGGTAAAAAAATTTAAAGATGCAACTATGCATATAATATGGTGGAACATATTGAATTGGCTATACCTATATTATATTTTAAGGAAAATTATTGGTACAAACTTAATTTAACACTCTTTTTGACATTCATCTTGGTTTAGCTAGTAAAATATAGGAAAATTATTGGTAGACATTGGTTTAACACATTTTTTGATGCTTATCCTAGTTCAAATATAAAAATATAATATAAATATACTTGATTTAGTTAGTTATTGTATCTTATATGCATGGCAACAACTTTAAGTTTGATTGCTTTTTGTTTTGGACCATAAAACAATGATTTTTTAGTGAATGTGTTGTGCAATGTGTTGAATTGAGTGTGCACCAATTATTGTCCCAAAATATAATATAAGTATAATTGATTGACTGCATATTTAAGTTCGTCTACCTTTAATTTCTTATGAGAAAATAGTGATTTTTTAATGAGTGTGTTAAATCAAAGTATATATCAATCAAGATCTATATCCTATTTATTAAACACTAAATCATATTCAAAATGAAGCGTACTAGGGTTGGAGTGAGGGATGCGGCAGCGAGGGTTGAGGGCAAATCCAGACGGTGGCAAGGTTTTAGAGGGCAGTCAACAAGGCTTAACAATTAGTTTACAAGGCACGTGAAGAAATTCTTCTTCTACAATTTCCAGAGAATCGTGAGGCAGCTGACTTATGGCATCGCTTTGCAAAATATGGGATAATGGTCGATGTCTATGTGCTACGAAAGAGAGATAAGTGGGGTAAAAAGTTTGGCTTGGTTAGAATGGCAGTGGTGCAGAACAAGGCTCAAATGGAGAAGAGGCTTAACGAGATATGGATTGGTTATTATAAGATGAGAGTTAAGATTGTGGATAATGGCCGAAATCAAGAATCAAGAAATAAAAAGGTCTCAACAGCAGCAAATGTAAAGTGGACAAAGGTTGGAATGAACAGATTGGTTCAACCGGGACAATCGTACGCATAGGCCGTTGTGGGTAACCGTAGTGAAGAGGAACGGGTGGATGCAAGGCCAGAAAATGTAAAAGAGAGGTTTAAGGATAAGGTAGAAACAATACCAGTACAGGCATAACGAATTGTGGAGAAAGAAGAGGTGGGGTCGTGTGAGAAGGCAGCTACAAAAGAGGTGAAGATGGGTGGTGTTGAGAAACAACATGAGGAGGTGATTATTGAAATCTCACCGACAAAGGAAAACCTCCAGTGGTTGGAAGGGAGTATGGTTGCTTTGATGAAGTCTATGGTGTCGATAACAAGTATACAAGATCGAATGGATGTAGATGGAAGACTGATAACTTTATCATCATTAGGACGAAGATCAGTGCTATTAGTTGAGTGAGTAAAAGGCTATCTGATGGAGTATATGCTGCAACACAAGAAGATGTTTGAATTGTGGTTTGAATTTATACAACCTTGGAAAGTAGCATCTGTGCAGCGATGTAGATTGGCTTGGCTATGCATATCAGGGGTTCCATTGCAAGCCTGGAATGATCGATGTTTTGAAATGGTTGGAAGAACAGTGGGTGAAGTGGTCTTGATTCATGATGATACTAGAAGGAAGGCTATTTTGTGTGATGGAAGGGTGTTGGTTCTCTGCTCTAATGTATCTAAAGTTTCAAAATCCATTAAGCTGAACGTGGATGAGAAGTTTGAGATAGGAGTAGTGGAGGAGGAATGGCGATTTGATCCAGACTGGTGGTTGTTGGAAGGCGACCGGTGGAGTTTGATGGGTACTGCATCGAAATATTCTTCAATGAAGAGCAAAGATGACGAGCACGAATTAATCAATAACGAAATTAGTGACGAGGATGATGACAGTGTTGATGAGGAGTCATTACACAAAGAAGATTTTTTTAATTCAAGATTGCCGCAGGAACTTGGAGAAGTTAATGGGCATGAATTAGGTGAGGAGATTGGGCTGGTAGGAAGTGATGTACATAATGGGCTGGAGGAGAGTATTGGGTTTATTGAAGGCCCATGGGAGATGATCTAGAGAATTCCAACACAATACTAAAACAAAAATCCAAAGATGGGACGGCTAAAAGAAGCAAAAAAATTGCATAATGCTACCTAGAAGACTTGACCAAAATCTGGAAAGAGAGGGCGGACTGGGTTACTGCACGAACAAAGCAAAGACAAGCACGACGGGCAAAAAGGGTTTCAAATGGTGACCGATGAAATGGTAAAGAGGGTTGGAAGTGTTTCTTTGTCAGATGGATGCATTGAGCATCGAAATCAGGTAATAAAACGAGAGTTAAATATGCAGGAGGTTAGGAGAATGATGAATGTAGGGAGAAGGTTGGGTATGCAATTTCAGGAAAATGAAAAGGAGATTGAGCCTAGATTACTTGAGATGAAGGAACGGGATGAGATGAAGGGGCAAAATCCGTGAGGTGTGGGGGGGTATGTTGAAGAGGAAGGAAGTGGGGAAATTAGTAAGGTTAGAAAGACCAGATTGTTTGTTTTTACAAGAGACCAAATTAGAAGGGGTTGAGGAGGGTCTCTGTAAAATGGTGTGGTATTCGAATGGATTTGAGTGGGTTGTGAAGTGTTTCATAGGGGCTTCAGGAGGATTACTTTGTGTGTGGGATAAGATGAATTTTATTAAGTTAGGAGAGTTTATAGGGGATGGCTATCTGGGAATAAAAGGGCTTTGGGGAGCGAAGGAAATTTGCTATCTTGTGAATGTACATGCTCCGAATGATAGAAAGAAAAAGGTTGAGTTATAGGATGAGTTGAGACAGATGATTATCGATGAGGAAGGTAAATGGCTGATAGCAGAGGCTTTTAATGCAATTCGATGTATTGAAGAAAGGAGGGGTAAAACAAGGGAGAGTCTAGATATGAAGGATTTTAATGATTTTATAGAGGCAGTTGGTTTAGTAGATCATAAATTGGCGAATTGAAGGTGCACTTGGTATAGACCAGATGGCACATCTATGAGTAGATTGGATAGGGTATTGATGACAAGTGAGATGACCAAAATGGGTGGAGAATGGGTGCATTAGGGTTTAAAGAGAACTATTTCAGATCATTGTGCGATTGTTATGAAAACCAGAGCAACAGATTAGGGTCCTAAACCATTTAGGGTACTCGATGTTTGGCAATAAAATTCGGATTTTAAGAGGGTGGTTGAGGAAAAGTGGAATGAGATGGCAGTGGATGGGTTTGCAGGTTATAAAATGTAAATAGAAATTGAAGATGTTGAAAGAATTTTTGCGACAATGGAACAAAGAGGTGTTTGGGGATATAAAGGCTCATTTTGAAAAGGCAGTAGCTAATGTTGAATGTGTAGACTTGAAGAATGAAGAATCTACACTGGAAGAAGACGAGTTAAATGAAAGACATGAGGGTTTTCAAGAGATATGGGACATCATGAGGAAGAGGGAAGCTTTATGGAAGCAAAAGTCAAGAAGTAACTAGGTAAAATTGGGTGATGCTAATACCAAAATCTTCCATAGAATTGCAAATGGAAGAAAGGCTTGTAATGGCATTGTAGGACTTTCGTGTGATGGAAAATGGGTGGAGGAGCTAGAGTTGGTAAAGAAGGTGACTGTTGACTACTTTCCAAAGCTGTTTTGTGGAGAATCATGGAATCGCCCAAAACCTTCTAGTATTATTTTCAAGCAGATATCTGAGGAGATGAAGGTATGGTTAGAAAGACCATTTTCGGCAAAAGAAATTGAAGATGGATTGAAGAGTTGTGAGGGGAATAAAACACTAGGACCTGATGGATACAACTTCAATTTCATTAAATTTGCCTAGAACAGTTTGAAGGAGGATTTTGTAAATTTCTTTGGGAAGTTTCATCAACACGGCAGGTTAATAAGGGCTCTAAATTCTTCTTTTTTAACTTTAATTCCTAAAAAGTTGAATCCTATGGAATTAAAGGATTTTAGACCTATTAGCTTGATTTGGTGTGTCTACAAATTATTAGCAAAGGTGTTGGCAAATAGACTTAAGGTGGTAATGTCATAGATAATTAGTGATACCTAGTTTGCTTTTGTAGGGGGTCGTTAGTTGGTTGATGGTGTGCTAGTCTTGAACGAAGTTGTTGAGGAGGTCAAGAGACGAAAGCAACAAGCTTTACTCTTAAGGTCGATTTTGAAAAGGCTTATGATTGTGTTGATTGGTCTTTCCTGGATTGGATGATGAGCAGGTTCGGTTTTGGATTGAGATGGAGAGGATGGATAAAGGAGTGTCTTTTAATAGCTAGAATCTCAGTTCTAGTGAATGGAAGTCCAACTGAGGAGTTTATGATGGGAAAAGGATTAAGGCAAGGTGATCCTTTATCTCTTTTTCTCTTTCTGATGATTGCCGAGAGGTTACATGGTTTAGTCAAAAAAGCTAAGAAAGAGGGACTGCTACATGGAATCGAAGTGGGCAGCAAGGGATTGACTATTTCATTGCTCCAATTTGTAGATGATACGGTGATTTTGGGAAAAGCTAATGGTGAGAATATTTTTTATAGTAAAAACCATTTTACGGTGGTTTGAGTTGATGTTTGGATTGCAAATTAATTTTCATAAAATTAGTATTGTCGAATTTAATGTGGCACAGAGGTGGTTAAATGGAGTAGCAAATGTTTTAAGATGTGGTGTTGGAGAGATACCTTTTGTGTACTTAGGAATGCCTGTGGGTGGAAATCCCAGGACTAAGAAGCTGTGGGACCCAACTCTGAATAAATTTTGAACCAAGCTTGCCGTCTAGAAATCTGCTCTATTGTCCTTTGGAGGTTGCATCACTTAATGCTTAATTGTGTGGTGTCTGAGTTGATTAGTATCCAAAGGAATTTTCTGTGGTGTGGGGCTGAATTAAAGAGGAAGATTCCATGGGTTAGCTGGGAGATGGTATGTTGTAGTAAGGAGAAGTGTGGCTTAGGAATCATGGATTTGAGGAGGAGGAATTGGGCATTGTTAAGGAAGTGATGGTTTAGGTTAGGTGATGGTGGTGAAAGCTTGTGGAAACAGGTCGTGTGGGATAAATATCATGGGGGTCGGAGGGAGGCGGACATCAAGGCAGTGGATAGTGTGAGGGTGTCTAGGATTTGCAAGGATGTAATTAGTATTGATGGGAAATCTATCTGATTACAAAACATGGTAATGAAGGGGTTTAGGTGGATGGTTGGTGATGGAAGGCGGGTAGGTTTTTGGCACGAGAATTGGGAGGGGGATATATCTTTACAGGATTTATGTCCTAGATTATTTGAGTTAGCTGTGCATAAGGAAGGTTTGGTTTGTGAAATGGGGGTGCGGGAAGGGGAATTATGGAGATGGAATATTGAATGGAGAAGAGGGAGGTTGGGTCGAGAAAGGGGTAAGGAGGAGGTGTTGTGGGAGGTGCTAAGTAAAGTACAAATCACGAAAGGTCTTGAGGATTGTTGGAAGTGGATGCATGATGCAAAAGGGAGGTATGCAGTGAAGAAGGCTTACGAGTTTTTGTCACTGATGGAGTTCATTCTTCCAGATCAAATTTGTAAGCTGCTTTGGTGTAAATTAGTTCCCTCAAAGGTTAGTTTCTTTGGGTGGAGATTGTGTTTGGACAGACTCTCAACAAAAATAAATTTTAAAAAAAGAGGGGTTAATTTGTCGGCAGAAGAATTAATATATGGTTTGTGTAATAAGGAGGAAAAGGAGTTTAATCATTTATTTTGTACATGTGATGAAGCTTGGTTAATTTGGGTTCAAGTGATGTCTTGGTGGGGAATTCAAGTTGTGATGCCTAATACAATGGAAGGGGTAATAGAGTTTTTCTTGTATGAGTTGGGAAGTGTGGTAGGCAGGGAGCTAGGGGCTTGTCTTTTCCTTGTTGAGTCTTGGTATATTTGGTATTGGAGGAATATTAGAGTTTTTCAAAACAAA